CAATTCTGTGACATTATATGACGAAAATAGGATTGCTACTAATATCGGATAACAGTAAACAACGTCAATAATAACAGTAATATAATAATAGTAATGATAATGATAATGATAATGATGATGGTGATATGATGTGTGATATAATAAAAAGCGTCAATGAATAATGATAAACATGTAATGATTATAATAATGATATAATGATAATAACAATGTTAATAATAATGATGATGATAATAATACAGATAACAATAACAATGATAATAACAATGATAATGATAATATTGATGATGATTATGATAATAATGATAATGATAATTGATAATAATAATAATAATAATAATACATAATAATAATAGCAAAAATAGTAAAATCAATAATAATGAAAAACAATAATGATGATAGTAAAGATAACCATTAATAATAATAGTAATAATAAACAATATCAACATTAACAATGATAATAATGATAATAACAAGATGAGAAAAAATGGAATTCTAACGGAGAGATATATGATAATGATAATTATATTATCAGTAATAATCTTAATACTAACAACTGCAATAAAAAGAACAAATGCAATAATGACAATAACAATAATATTGGAAATAATAATATCAATGATAATCATGATAATGATCATAGTAATGATAATGACAATAACAATAATGAAAGTAATTCAAAATATAACAAGAACATTGAAGTAATGATAACAATAATGATAATAACAATAACAATAATAATAAATAAATATACAATAATTAATGATAATAACAATAAAAATAATGATAATAACAATAAAAATAATGATAATAACAATAAAAAATAATGATAAAATAAAAACAATAATATATAATAACAATAATGAAAGTCTAATAATAATAATAATACTAATAATTAAAAAAAAATACTAATAATAACAAAAATGATAGTGATTATAGAAAAAAAGGTTGGTGATAATATTAATAATGACAATAACAAAATTAAAAAAAGAAACTGAATTTCCTGTCCTAACAATAACAAAACTTATAAAAGACTAAACTCAATTTCCTATCCTAACAATAACGTCTAGAACATCAATAATAATGATAATAATAAGCATCCTTGGCATCCACCCCTTCGGGCGCCCTGGCCAAAACCAACCTGACGGGGAGGGCGGGCTCGTCCACAAGGTCGTCGAACACCCCTTGGAGGAGGAAAGCTAGTGGCCACGAAATCCAAGACGATCTGCAACACATGACCTGGAAGTTATTCGATCTTAATACTTATATAAATACAGGTACTGATGACTTGAAACATTTTGAATATCATTATTTTATTTTTTAGTTTTTAGAATTATTATTCTTAAACATTATAATGGATTATTCTGGAAGTTATTCGATCTTAATACTCATATAAATACAGGCACTGATGACTTGAAACATTTTGAATATCATTATTCTATTTTTTAGTTTTTAGAATTATTATTTTTAAACATCATAATGAATTACTCTAGAAGTAATTCGATCTTAATACTTATATAAATACAGGTACTGATGACTTGAAACATTACGAATATCATTATTTTATTTTTTAGTTTTTAGAATTATTATTTGAAAAAGTAAAATCATAATGGATTATTTATTTTACTTGTTTTATCATTATCTTTTAAAGTTAGAATTGTAGTGGAGGAATTTAAGAGACGGCACGTGACCCAAAACAGTCATTCTTGAAAGATTGAGTTCTAGTTTTGATCGATCTGCTGGAACCGCTGAGACCGCTACAAGACAACGGTTTTCTTTAGCATGTAAGTCTGCACCTTGAGCACATCATTCATAGGTTATAATGATCTTGTAAGATTTCACATTAATACTTACATTCATCTCACAGCTGTTCCGTAGAGATACTCGTGACACAGATTACGGATACCACCGCTAGATTGTGATAGATGTAGAGAGGGGGGGGAGAGAGAGAGAGAGAGAGAGAGGAGAGAGAGAGAGAGAGAGAGAGAGAGAGAGAGAGAGAGAGAGAGAGAGAGAGAGAGAGAGAGAGAGAGAGAAACAGGCAAGAATACAGCAGAAGTAAAGAGAGACACGGACAGACAGAGAAACAGAGAAAGAGGCAGACATACAAACAGATAGACAGAGACAGAGCAGAAGATAGACAGAGAGAGACAGACAGACAAGAGAAAAAGACAGAGAGAAAGAAAAACGCCCAAACAAACAGGAGACGAAGAACAAACCATAAAAACTGAGTACCCAAAGACACCAGCAATGCACCCTCCTCGCAGTCTCCATAAGCGATCGCCTTCCCATGACTCATGACCGTGACAACCATTCCCCATAACTGTAATGACTTCTCACGGCTGAAACAAGGGAGATTCTCGCGCCCCGAGGAACCTCCATTGCCGTGTCCGCCCGTCCTCGCCAGCAGCTGACGTCGATGGCGCCCTACTTACCGGGACTTCCTCGATTAAGCAGTGCGTGGATTGGCCGTGCGAAATTCCCCGGGTGATTTCAGAACGGA